GGGGTTGGAGTGGGCAGCAGGGACAGGCAAATTCCTGGAACTCAGGGTCAGACAGACAGACTCCAAGAGAGAGCTCATGATTCAGTGGGAGACCCTGCTCAAAGATCAAGGTACAGAGCAATTGAACACACCCAACGTTGACCTTTGATTTTCTCATGTACGCACACAGACATGCACTTGCACACACATGTACCACACACACACACACACATGCAACACCCCCTTTAAAAAATCTAAAACCAAAAACCTCATTACAATGACAAGACTTCTTAAATTTCAAGACTTGAGTTTGCTCCCCAGCCCTCATATAAAACAGATTACCACATGCCTCCTGGAGCATCAACACTCAGGTACAGAGCGAGTGTAACGCAGCCTGGACAGCGTGAGAACCGAACCTGACTCAGAAAAAAAATGTCGTCCAAAAGTCTTCCTTACTTTAAACAATTTTAGTCTACCTTGTGCGAAAATATCTTTTTTTATATTTATTTATTATGTATACAATAGTCTGTTTGTGTGTATGCCTGCAGGCCAGAAGAGGGCACCAGACCTCATTACAGATGGTTGTGAGCCACCATGTGGTTGCCGGGAATTGAACTCAGGACCTTTGGAAGAGCAGGCAATGCTCTTAACCGCTGAGCCATCTCTCCAGCCCCGTGCGAAAATATCTTAATTCTTACTTTCTTACCACAGATTAAGCTAAGATTTAGAGTACCAACTGATGAGAGAGGTGGAGGGGGAACTGGTACAATTATGCCAGCGGCTCCTTGGGAACCTGTGTGTTTCCCGGCCCAGCGTCAGAGTTAGCATCTGTCCCCTTGTTGACCTCCAGAGATGATGACCAGGGATAAAGAAGAACGAGGGGGATATTTCCCTTGTTCTACCCACTTTTCTTTCCTTTCTGTTGAGGAAGTATTTCCTCAGGCAGTGGGCCACAGGGAAAACAAATTTAGACAACGTAGCTATAACAGCTCGCCACGCCCCTGCGTCAGCATCTCACGGCTGAGTGGGTTCCCAGCCTCAAGCTTCTTTTAATAGAGGAAACAGTTGAGACGTTGAAGAAACCTAGTGTTGTGTGCGAGGGATCCTGAGCCCCGCGCCTCTCAGCCTTGTGCAACCCTTTAGAAGTTACTCAACCCCCTATGCTTCATTCCGGAACCGCAGCGCAGGGCAGATAATCCTCACGGCTGGCTGTTCTCTCTGAAGGGAAGCAGAAGGGTTCACACTTTTGAACAAGAGTCCCATTGCTAATTGGAAGCCTGTCCAGGAAGGCCCAGTAGAAAGACTGCCGCTGGGTGTGGCGGTGCACGCCTCTAATCCCAGCCCTTGGGAGGCAGAGGCAGAGCGAGCTCTAAATTCAAGTTTAGCCTGGGCTACAGAGAAGAGTTACAGGGCAGTCAAGGCTTCAGAGAGGGAGCAGGGAGGGGAGGAAGGGAGAGGAGAGGAGAGGAAGAAAAAGATGTGTGCATGCCACATGAATCTGAGAATCCAGAGCTCTCTGGTCCTTGCAAGGTGCAATTTGCCCCTCACGTCGTGGTGTAGGCTGCTACTTGGTGGAGAATGGCACCTGCCTCTGGAACATGTTTTACCCTAGTTGCCTGTGAGATGCTTCACGCCCAAGCGTGGCCTCAGGGCACAGTGCTTGAGGCTCTGCCGCTTACCACTCGGAGGTGGCAATGTGACTGTCTGTCATCCTCGCCCTTGTCACAGAGAGTGCTGTGTTAATCTTCATGATACGGCTGTGTTACCATTAGGGTCCTTAGAAGAATCTGGCTTTCCTCTGACGCCCTGGTACTTCTGTCTTGCTAGGGCTTTGCAATATAGATTCTTATTCAAAGTTTTTTTTTCTTCTTTCCCTGAAAATTCAGTTCTTTGCATAATGGTTTTTGTTTTGTTTTTGAGAGTGTAATTTTTTTTTTTTTTACAAGATTTGAGAACTAAGTTTCAATAGTCAGCACACTGAAAATGTGGTGTCCACTGGCTGCTCAACCCTGCCGACAGGTTGCTGCCAAGTGGGGCGTTTGTGGGAGAGGCACCCTGATTCTGACCGCTTTCTCTTTCACATTCTTGCGCTTTTCCAGCCGAGAGCCAGTGGAGCCAGACTAGGGCGGAGGAACCTTTAGAAATGTCAGACGTCCTGCGGGAGCTGCTCCGCGTCTCCGAGAAGGCTGCTAACATCGCCCGGGCGTGCCGGCAGCAGGAGGCCCTCTTCCAGCTGCTCGTGCAGGAGAAGAAAGATGCGGAGAAGAACAAGAAGTTCGCGGCGGACTTCAAGACCCTGGCGGACGTGCTGGTGCAGGAAGTCGTAAAGCAGAACATGGAGAATAAGGTGAGAGGTCAGGGCCAAGGTGGCTGTGAGCCGCTTGCCTCTGCCACTCTGCTTCTCTCTGAGTAAAACAGCGGGTCTTTTTACTGATCCTCGGGATATCTCGGAGCCAAGCGAACATCTTCTGGTCTTCCCTTATTTTCATTACACCATTACGAAAATGGTCTTTGCGGGAAATCAATGAAGGATCGAAAAGCGAACAAATGGAGGGGACTCAGAATTCTAACATGAGTTCATAGAGTCGACTCTTTGGTTTCTTGATGAGCTCCTTGTTAATAAATAATCCCTGTTCTCTGCGACAGAACACAATCAAGGTCCCTCGGAAGCCCGGTGTTAGACTCTCCTTGCCGCTGGGGATTGCTGGCGTCTCTTTGCGGGTTTGCACCTCCTGTCTCACTTGCTTTGACTCCTTAGTCCCAGTTTATCCACTTCACTATTTATCTAACGTTCGCCTTGGTTACGGGTTTGGGATTGGGTAAAAAAAATCTCCCGTGATCCTCCTATAAAACTATGGTCATGACAGCCAGTGACTGTGGTTCTCAGTGCGGAAGTGACCAGAAGAAGCTAATGTCCTAGTACTCTAACAGTGATGCCAGCAGACGCATGTAAACATGTCCCTGGCTTCGCTGAATTCTCGCTGGTGAACCTGGCGACACTTTTGTACAAAGAACTATTATTCCACTGTTATCCGGGTGTCACAGGGAGCATGGATAAGTGACCCAAAATTACACAGCACAGCGTGACAGCTCTTGAACGTAGGAAATGGTTCTGAGTGTGTGCCAGTACGGTCCCTGTTGGCTTTCATATCATCCCTTCCCCACCTCTTTTTTTTTTAATTTAAAAGAATGGAGCTTTATGATAGAAAATTTTTTTAAAAAAAAAAACTTTCATATTTTTAATGAATTTTTTTAAATTTGAGGATCATTTTAGAATGAAGTAAAATCTTGACCACGGGCGTGAGAAGTGAGTACATAAGTTACATAAAATCCCCACAGACTGTTTCTTCTTCATACCCTTGTCTACCTGGCTTTGGCAAGCTCAACGAAGGAAGCTTGTTTTCTGTTGTTACTGATAGAGTTATACATACACAAGGGCCGGTTGAGCAACCGGATTGGATACGTATCAACATTACTTTTATGGGTTAATATGTGACCCCCCCACCCCCTCCAGCATTAGAGCAAGTCCAGGTAATTATTCATGAACAACTGCCGGAATTTATGAAACAAATACTTTCCACCTGAGCCGCTTTAGATATTTTTATTTCTAAAACAAATATATAAACTTCTAAAATAAATATACTTCTGTCGGCATTCCGCTCAACAGCTCTGTAAACAGGTGTGGGGGAACTGGCAGATGGCCAGCCCGGTTGTAGGCCCGGGTTCTGCTTTGCAAAAGACAAGAAAGAAGAGCAGGTGGTGTGGCCCTTGTGTGGGAATGTTCTAGAGTGTCAGGCAGTCCCTTTCCTGAAAACAGCAGGAATATGGGAGCCAGCACGTATTTTGAGAAGTATCTTCCGAGGGCCAGGAGTGAAATGTGTTCATCTGAACACTGACGTAGAAATTTGAGGGAAGTCTCACTCCATCCCTGTTCACTCTATACCTATACTTACGTCATAGATCCCTACTCTGCTGGGTTTCTTTCTTTTTCTCTTTCTTTTCCTCCTTTCTTTTTTTCCTTTGGCACACCAACGGGTGCAGAGATGTTATCTGAAAATGAAAATAAAACCTAAGATTACCTTCTAGTCTTTTTGTATTTTTAGAAATTCTCTTAGGGACTGGAGAGATGGCTCAGTGGTTAAGAGCACTGACTGTTCTTCAGAGGATTTCAATCAGCTATATGGCAGATCACAACCATTTATGATGGATCTGATTCCCTCTTCTGGTGTGCAGACATATATGCAAACTACCCATATGCAACGTACCCATATACCTAAAGTGCAAAAATAAATATAAAAAAATTTTTTAATGAAATTATTTTAAGGACATTAGCCAATAACATGAGTTTTTCACAGGCTGGTGTTTAGGAGCAGGGTTAACAAATGTCCCCAGTCTTGTGGCATCCCAGTCCTGTGGCTGTCCAGCCCTGTGGCCGTCCAGCCCTGTGACCGTCCAGTCCTGTGGCCATCCAGCCCTGTGGCTGTCCAGTCCTGTGGCACTCCAGCAGAAGTCTCACAGCACATAAAGAAGCCTGATCTCAGTCATGGATTACCTTTTCTAGACTGGCAAAGGAATAGGAAAAATATTAGAACCAATATTAGCCCAGAACGAAGCTGGCTTCTTTTTCCACGCTCAGGCTGACTCCTACTATGAAAGTTTGGAGTTTCGAATCTAATTTACGGAATTCTCTTCAGAACTGACTTGTGGGGCTGGGGATTGTTGGTTTGTTTTTCAAACTCTGACTCATTCAGTTTCCAGGCTTGGGGAAAAAAATTTTTGGCGAAGAATCCAATGAATTTACAAATGATTTGGGTAAGTAGAAGAACCTTAATGTGTTTTATAACTTAATCATAGTATTCTAGTTTCTAACTTGGAACATAAAATAAATGAATGCTAGAAAACTTTGGCCATAAACAGCATCACATGCTTAAATGTAAAGCTTTATATAGGCGCTATCTCAGAATAGGATGGTGTTTGAGTTAGAGAGAGGTGAGGTGGTTTCTTGGTCTTGGAATAATTTATCAGCATTTTAGCCATCGCGACCTAGCCTTTGGGAAAATTCTATAGCCTTTTGAAAACCTAATGGGATGGTTGATGCCCCAGAAAGGTGTTTGTCTACACAGTTGAGCGGACAGTGCCTGAACAGGGATTTAAACCCATTTGGGGACATCCTGGACACACTTAGCTCTGGGCTAAGTGTGAGGCAGATCCCTCAGTCCTGAAGTAATGTATGGTGTTGCTCCGGTACCCTCTGCATTTCATCTCAGAACCTCTGTAAAGGTAGCTGAATTAACAGAAGTTTCCATTCTGTTGCAGGGAAGAGGGCCCACTTGTTCATCTGGGCTGCCTAGCCAGCTTAATCCCGAATTAACCACACAGAAATTGTATTAATTAAATCACTGCTTGGCCCATTATCTCTAGCCTCTTATTGGCTAACTCTCACATCTTGATTTAACCCATTTCTATTCATCTGTATATCGCCATGTGGCAGTGGCTTACTGGGAAAGATTCTACCCGGCGCTGTCCATCTCAGGCAGAGGATCCATGGCTTTTCCTGACTCCGCCCTTCTTCCTCCCAGCATTCATTTCTGTTTTTCCCGCCAACCTAAATTCTGCCCTATCAAAAGGCCAAGGCAGTTTCTTTATTCATTAACCAACGAAAGCAACACATAAACAGAAGGACCCTCTACCCCACCATTCCGTACCAACCTTTTAATTTTATTTTGTTGTTGTTCTGTCGAAGGTGGGGCCTTGCTGGGTTATAACTGGTCTCAAATTCTTGGTTCTAGTCATTTCTCACCTCAACTCCCAGAGTAGCTGAGACCACAGGCATGAACCTCTTCCCCTGGCTTTTTATATACATTTCTATGTGTCTAAAAGTTTCTATACATTCCTATGACTCCAAGAAAAAAGATAGAAATCTTATTCACACTTCCAAAAGTTAAAAGTAACTATTATGAGTACCACACAGTACATCCTAATTTACAATCCTACATTTGGCTGTTTCATAAACAGTTGATTTAATTCTTCTTCTGATACTCTTGAATATAAACAATATTTTTGTTAAAAGCAGCATTACAGGAGGAAGCAGAAGCATTTCTGTACGTGGATAAGACCTGTGTCTTTTCCAGTAACATTCCAACATGGACAGAGAAGTGTCAAAAGACAAAACTAAGTAACAGAATAATTATTGAAGCGAAAGAATTTCAACTTTTGTGTGGAGTTCCTTGAATGCAAACCTTTGCCCTCCTTAGTTACTTTTCTGGGGGAGCAGACTGAGTCCTGGAGCCTAACCTCTTCACCAAGAGGATGGCCACAGACGGCCACGGAGCCACTAGCATCCACCGCTTTATAAGGAGCCACAGGGGATCCTGGCATGGTTTCCGATCCAGCGCTGTAGACATACTGCACCCACCTAACCCAAGAGCTCAGCTCAGCTGCCCACTCTCCTTGCTGCCCCTCTGCCTCCCGCGGTCTGGTCTTCTCCCCGAATCTCTCAAGGAGCCGTGGCTCTAATTTGTCTTCATTCTAGGAGAAAAGATCACTGTGGAGCTGCGGTCCACGGAGGAGGAGACAGCAGAGCTTCTCAGCAGAGTCCTGGATGGCAACGTGCCGGCGTCTGAAGCGCTGGCGAAGGTGGTGCATCAGGATGTGGACCTAAGTGACCCCACTCTGGAGTCCCTGGAAATCAGGGTTCCACAGGACATTCTGGGGATTTGGGTGGACCCCATAGGTAAGTGCAGGACTGCTACCATTTGTGCCCAGTGTTCTTGAGGGGTCAGGGCAGCTCCAGGAAATAGAAACCATTAGAACTAAATAGTCTAGATCTCCTGGAACATTCGTTATCATTATTATTTTTAAATATTTATTTATTTATTTATTTATTTATTTATTTATTATGTATACAGTATTCTCAGTACTCTGCCTGCAGGCCAGGAGAGGGCACAGATCTCATTACAGTTGGTTGTGAGCCACCATGTGGTTGCTGGGAATTGAACTCAGGACCTCTGGAAGAGCAGCCAGTGCTCTTAACCGCTGAGCCATCTCTCCAGCCCACTAACGGATCTTTAAATGCCTGGTAAATCCGTGAGACTGTGAAGTGACCTCGATGAGCTCCTCTCCGAGGGAGCGCCATCCTAACAGATTCTTGCCGTCTGCTAGTACAGGCTGGATCTCCAGATTTTAACACACTAAACCCAAACCGGTGTTTTTAGGGAGAGTTGTGAGCTTTAAATCGTGGGCTACTCAGTCAGTTAGGCAACAGTCAAAACCGCAGTCAAGCGAAACGGCCGAACGGGGCTTGGGTGACCGGCAAGCCGGCGTCAAACCTCCCAAGCCTTAGTCCTTGTTGTGGTAGAATTGTCACTATTATAGTGCAGGTTTCTAAAACAGCGCTGTCGCTACAAGGTCCCGAGACTTCACGTCTCCCGACTTTCCCATCCCCCCCCTTCGATTCTGCTTGACACAGCTGGTGGCGAACATTATACTTTCTCAGCATCCTGTGCCACACACAACACGACACGGCAGCTCGTCTTACATCAGGTAGCTGCGTAACATGCAATCCGTGCATTGGATATGAACATTAAAATTCCCACCCAAGCCTCCGGTCATGTCAGGGTAAACTGACTTTATTTACACTTCCGAGGAAAGCCATCTCCTTTGTCTCTTAGTTCCACCCTGAACAGGCTTTTGTCTGTGTCCCTGGGTCTTTGGCTGGGCACGGTCTTCACTGTGTGCTGACTCAGGGGACTTGGTACTGCACCAACGCCTGTCACATGCTGATGAGGCCAGTAGCTGCTCGGTCTGCCGTACTGGAAGCCTTAGCAGTGCCAGTCCCTGGAGACCACTGGTCTTCTGTCCGTGTCAGAAGTTCAGAGATGCTAATGTGTTTATGTTGGTGAAGGATGCCAGCAGCAGCAGCAGCAGCAGCAGCAGCAGCAGCAGCAGCAGCAGCAGAAGCAGAAGCAGAAGAAGCAGAAGAAGCAGAAGAAGCAGAAGAAGCAGAAGAAGCAGAAGAAGCAGAAGAAGCAGAAGAAGCAGAAGCAGAAGCAGAAGCAGAAGCAGAAGCAGAAGCAGAAGAAGAAGAAGAAGAAGAAGAAGAAGAAGAAGAAGAAGAAGAAGAAGAAGAAGCAGCAGCACCACTTTGCCTCATGCGTCTTTACAGCCCGGCTCCTGGAAGGCGCTGCCCACTCTGAGAGAGGATTGTGCCCCCTCCACAATGCTTCCAGATAATACCTCCAGACACACCCAGATCCGTACCTCTTAGGCAATCCCAGATCCGATCAGGCTGACAACCGAGATCAACCCTCACAAGCACTGTGATGCCTTCTCTCCTGACCCTGTTAGGCGGGCTTCGTCATCTCCTTCCTTGCAGCTTGGAGAGATGAATGAAGACAATGAGAGGCCATTCTGTATCTGACAGATCCCTAGAGGCTTTTCCGTCTCAGATTGCTCCAGTCCTAAAAAACAAAAACAAAAACAAAACATCCCACCAGCTATCAGGAGCTGTTGGCCTTTTCAGCTTGTTTTTAAGGGCGTGAGCACGTGCTCCTGTGCACACAGCACAACACAGATTATAGTGTGTTTTTCTACCTAATCTGAAACTCACCCATTCCGTTAGACCGGCAGTCCAGCAATCCCCAGAGACCCTCTTGTCTCTGCCTCCTCCCCAACACTGGGCTTTTTAAGAGGGACCTGCTTTGCCTGACATCTTGCGTGGGTGCTGGGAATCCCAACTCAAGTCCTCCTGCCTTCGATACTTTACCCACTGAGTCGTCTTCCCAGCCCTAGCTGCCTTAGAGGCCTTGTTATATGAAGGTGCTGTATTAGATTCCTCAGGACGGTGGCCATGTTCTCCCCCGTAAAGAGTTCTCAGACTTACAGGGCAGAGGCGGGAAGATCTTCAGCTGGAGACGCACCCGTGCTGCACAGAGACCCTGTCTCAAGCCAACACATTTTCCCCTAAAGTTCCCATACACTGAATGCAATAGAAGCAATGATATATAAGAATACAAATGATTCAGGGCAGGCAGCGCCCAATGATGAAATCTGATAGATTACTAAATTAGAAGGGGAATTTATACAGGATAAAAAAAAATCCTCAGTCGACCCACCATGATCTAATAACCCGTCTGTGCCTGTATGTTTGTTTCATTTTTCAGATTCCACCTATCAGTATATTAAAGGTTCTGCCAATGTGAAATCCAACCAGGGAGTCTTCCCCAGTGGGCTTCAGTGTGTGACGATTTTGATTGGTGTCTATGACATACAGACAGGCGTGCCCCTGATGGGAGTCATCAACCAGCCTTTTGTGTCTCAGAATCTAACTACTCTAAGGTAAAAGACATTTCCGGTTTTGGTCGCCCCCCCCCCTCAGCTTTGCTTGTTAGTATGGTCACCCCACATGGCCTTCTCACGACTGGGTTCTATGGGGTTTCCCACTGTGAGTCCACAGGGCTGAATTAAGATGCCTCCTCTCTTCGGTCCTGGATTTGGCAGTGTTTCGCTTGGGTGTAAGTGCTCATTGATGCTTTAAAAGAAATTAATTCGGTCTCGGAGAAGCCACAGCTTTGCATCTGAGATATAGCAACCCTATTCCTGTTTCTAAAATCCACTCAAAACCACACAGGTAGATTAATGCTCAATGCTGTCCTCGGATTCATTGGAACACGTTAGATGCCACCACTCTGTGGCCAGGTGAATTTCTGTATTATGGTGGAAGACATGCAGAACCAAACGTGGAAAATATTTAGGGGAATTTTTGTCCAATATGGCCAGGGCTGACTCGAACGCCTTCTAAGTACTGCCAGCATCAGTGTGGAAGGGGTCCTCGCCGCCCCCACCTTTCCACTAATCCCCTCTCACAGCCTGGATAGTGGGCAGGCCTCTGTGTTGGGGGCTGACTCCTGGGCATAGCAGAGTCCTAGCAGAGGCGGCGGACCCTTTTTTTTCTCACTGAAAAAACTTGCAGCTTCTGTTACATAGGACTGCCTGTGTTCATTAATCTTCAGGTTGCTTCAGATAAGAATCCTTTGTTCTTTAAGAGTTAAAAGTTTGGGGGCTGGAGAGATGGCTCAGAGGTTAAGAGCATTGCCTGCTCTTCCAAAGGTCCTGAGTTCAATTCCCAGCATCTACATGGTGGCTCACAACCATCTGTAATGAGGTCTGGTGCCCTCTTCTGGCCATCAGGCATGCATACAGACAGAATATTGTATACATAATAAATAAATTTTAAAAAAAGAGTTAAAAGTTTAAGCCTCTGGAATTTTCCTCTACTCCAGTTTTGTTGTTGTTGTTGTTTTTTCAAACTAATTTGGTAATGTTTTAAAAGGTCATTAAAACATTAGGGACCCTGTAAGCCCAGCACTCCAGAGACACAAGAGGACTCCAAAGCCAGCTTCCGGGGGGTCTCAGATTCAGGGGTGAACCAGATTTGATTTCAGGTTTCACCACTTACGGATCCAGGCCACTTTAGCAAGTTACTTGCTTTCCCCAAAGGTAGCCTCTCATCTGTAAACAGAGCCCTTGACAGGAGGGGAGGTGGGTAGACAAAGCTGTTACTACTACTATGGCCAACAATAACCACAGGAGGCCATCTTACTTGGTGTTCTAAGTCAAAGTGAAGCTTAGAGATGCAGAATAAAGAGGAGGAGATTTACAAGAAGATTTAGACCTGTCTCTTTCCCTCTGGGACTTTGAATGACAAAAGCGGGATTGAGTTTTGGCTTTGTTCCTAGAGGTCAGAGATCCTAGCAGGCTTAGTGTTATCCCAGCTGGGTTTGAGGAGAGGTAAAGAGTCGGTGTTTCTCGCACAGAAACACAGGCGCTTGCTTGCAGTCAGCTTAGAATTAACTAGTAGCTTGATGTCCATTTATAGGCTCGGGATCATTAAAACTCAATTTGCTCTGAGGCATTGTACATTTTTTTTCATATCGTCATATTTGAAAGGCGCCTGCGTCAATCAGCGTGCTAATCCCCAGCTAAACCTGTTTCCTGCAGGTGGACGGGGCTGTACTACTGGGGCCTCTCCTACATGGGGACCAACATCCATTCCCCGCAGATCGCCCTCTCTAAAGGGACCGGCGGTGAAACCCAGACTGAAAACTCAGACGGGGAGCTCTCCCGCCCCCTGTCCGCAGTCATCAGTACCAGCGAGAACGAGACCATCAAAGCGGCGCTGTCGCGAGCGTGCGGGGGCGGCGTCTTCCCGGCAGCGGGGGCAGGCTACAAGAGCCTCTGTGTAGTCCAAGGCCTGGTTGACATTTACATCTTCTCAGAGGACACCACGTTCAAGTGGGACTCCTGTGCCGCCCACGCCATTCTGAGGGCCATGGGCGGGGGCATTGTAGACATGAAAGAGTGCTTGGCGCGAAATCCCCAACCGGGGCTGGACTTACCACAGTTGCTGTATCACACGGAAAACAAAGGTGCTTCCGGAGTGGATCTCTGGGCCAACAAGGGAGGACTGATAGCTTATAGGTCCAGGCATCGGCTGGACACTTTGCTGAGCTGCCTCATCCAAAACCTCGGGCTTTTGAAGACACAGACATAGGGCCCTGACCTCAACTCGCCCTAAAGCTGAACCGAACCCCTTTGTGCTGTCTGTTTAATGTTCCCTTGCCTCTTTTCAGGAACATTTTCTCGTTATGTGTTCATAATGTTAATTTCTGTAAATTAATGACATTCGTGTCACAACTAAGTTGGTATATGATGTTCTTACAGGGAACCTTGTTCTGTTAATGTTGCTTGGAACCCTTCAATAAATTTCCAAGGGAGGAGTGGAATTGCCCGGCTGGAGTAGAATGGCTGAATTGAGCCAGGCTGGAGCTGGGTTTTATTTCTCGTCCTGGAGAAGAAATCTGTGGTTCGGGCCTGAGGCAGGAGATTCAGAACTGTGGATCTGAATAATGGAGCCAACTGCATAGCCTTTCAGTAGTTTGTGTTTCTCCTTTAAAATAAATAAGTAAAAGCTCAATGCGGAGGCAGAAAGGGAATTGGAAATCAGGAAACAAAAAGGAGAGATCCACACACGGAGAGAGAGAGAGAGAGAGAGAGAGAGAGAGAGAGAGAGAGAGAGAGAGAGAGAGAGAATGTATATGCAGAATGTATATGCAGTCAAGTGATAGCTAACTTCCTACCATAGGTCAAGCAGAAGTGGTGTGTGTGTGTGTGTGTGTGTAAATGTATATGCATGAGTGATAGCTAACCTCCTACCATAGGCCAAGCAGAAGAGGTGGGGCAAGGAGGTCTCTCTGTTTTGCATAGCTATTTACTCTCTACTGTAACCCCAGTGCGACCCTCTGTTTTGCCACACCAACGACTCTTAGAGCTGTGCAGTGTCCTTCCGCAGCCCAGGTCACCCTGGTGGTGTCCACTGGAGGGATCAAGGGAACCTTCAACCGGCTGCAGTCCCTCCGTGCTCTCTGGGTACTGATGGCTGTTTCTACGTTAATATTACAATCCCAAGTTACTGGGAGGAAGTCAGACCTGTTTGTTTCTTCCGTTATTCTTAAACTCGAGAAATGAGTTGACAAATAATGTATGTATATTTATGTTTTACACTTGTGATTCTTTGAAGTGCGCATGCCACATGGAGCTA